GACAGCTATGTTCCCTCTAAGCTTTTCATTAACTTTATGCTTCTACTTTACTTTTCTGCCACTGCTGACTTGCATGGATGAATACTTATTTTGTTCCAATTCCGGACTATGTTCTCTTGCAGGAGAACTCCTTGGGATGGAGTATCTGTACAGCCAGTCCGGTCGCTCCCTGACTGTCGTGGTCGACCAGGAAGAAGAGGATCGGTTGGTGGAGAGTATGGAGGATGGGGAGGCGGCTGACGACGGCTTCGTAGAGGAGGAACCGGAGGACCTGACGCTTCCCGTCCTCTATGAGGCCCTCAACCCTGAGGACAGCAGCATCTCCCTGGCCTCGCCCTCCTCTTCCTCAGGGCCGAACACATCATCCATCCAAGGAGCGTCTCCGCCACGGCCCACCGCCCAGACGGATGCAGCGCCCGCTCCTGCAGGGCCCTCTGGGTCCAGCGGTCCACTCCAGCTCCCCGTGAGTAGATTACTCATCAGCTGCTACTCTGTCTACCTGCAGATTGTTACTAATATTGTACGTGGTTTAATGTTGACATTTTACCTGACATTTTGTATTTTAATTCTTCTATGCAGGCTCCAGTTCTTGGCCCTGATGGCATCCTTGGCTGGGACAAGGTGCAGGACTTGGCTGAGTACCTGGTGTCCCTCCGTCAGGCGCTCTACCTGGAAGAGCAGCAGGTCACAGAGGTCATCCGCCTGTGGGTCGATCTTCCAGATGGAGACAAGAGGAGGCTCCATTACCAGCCAAGACACCAGCCCAAACTGGTCCATGGACGCTTCAAGGCTCCCAAGAATACCGGCGTCACACCTGGAGTGGAGAGTGTGAAGAGATGTCTGATTGGACATCCTGGGGGGCCTGCCCAGTGGCCCAGCACCAGTCGCGTGGTGGAGGCCATGTGCATCAAGCTGTGCTCGATGCATAAATCCCCAACCAAGAAGGCTGGTGTGAGGCTTCCTCGATGGACCAAAGTCCTGACGGACTATCACCACATCCGGGACCTGGTCCTCCACAGCCAGCCCCTCATGGAGGCCACATCTCTTCAGCTGTTTAAGTTAAATCAAAGGACCTTGACACAGTGGTAAGTATGTTTCTTTGTGGGTTTTTTTTTCTTTTTTTGTAAACAGACATTTGAAAGAAAGGTCTGTTTCTTATGATGCTATGACGTTTTTGTAACTGCAGGTTTAATCGGATGGAAAACAACCAGGAGCTGAGTATTTTGACCCAGGGCCTTGCTAGTGACGACCGCATCGCTGTGGCCGGCTCTCAGCTTCCTGCTCCACGGGAACCACTGAGCCAGACTCCAACAACTTCAGGGGCCAAATATGAGTTTGTCTTGCCCCCAAACAGGGCGGGTCAGGCTCCCAAGCTGCGGCCAGGCAGACAGCCAGCCAGTGCCACGGCGCTGCGGCCCATCTTACCGGCAGCTCCAGTGCCAGGACTCCAGATCACGCTAGGGGGTCAGCCGGGGTCAGCACTGACAGGTGCAGGTCATCCCCCAGCAACTCCTGTCCTCACTCCACCTGTCCTTCTGGTGGGAATGCCAGTGGCTCCTCTGCCAGCTCCCCCTGTGCCCCGCTCCACAAAGAGGAATCGGCGACGCAGGGCAGAGGAAGAGGCCGCCGGTGTGCAGAAAAGGAGGTACACCAGGAAGGTGGCATTCAACATGTGTGGGGCATGTGGCCATCCAAAGACAAAAGATTTTGGCCACAGCCGTTTTGGCAGCGCCACATTCTGCCTGGGCAGCGCTGGTGGGCAGTCTTTGGAGGCCTGGCTGGCAGAGCAGCGCCAGCAAAGGCCTCCACAACCTCCACAACCATCACAACCATCACAACCATCACAACCTCCACAACCATCACAACCATCACAACCTCCACAACCATCACAACCTCCACAACCATCACAACCATCACAACCGCCACAACCATCACAACCTCCACAACCATCACAACCTCCACAACCACCACAACCTCCACAACCATCACAACCATCACAACCTCCACAACCATCACAACCATCACAACCGCCACAACCATCACAACCTCCACAACCATCACAACCATCACAACCATCACAACCATCACAACCATCACAACCACCACAACCATCACAACCATCACAACCATCACAACCATCACAACCATCACAACCTCCACAACCATCACAACCATCACAACCTCCACAACCATCACAACCATCACAACCATCACAACCATCACAACCTCCACAACCATCACAACCTCCACAACCTCCACAACCATCACAACCATCACAACCGCCACAACCATCACAACCTCCACAACCCCTACCCCCATAGGTGGATGTTCATTCTGTAAAAATGTACATAAATCTTTTGTACTTTTTATTTATACTTGTGTATTTTTATTGTGATTTTTTTTCTCCAATTTATAGTACAAGATACTATTCATTATAAGTGGAAGTGTGTTCTTCTCTGAATAAAACCTGTTCACAGAATCACTTTGTTGTGCTGCTTTTAGTTGTTTTGATCTGGAGTATGCAACGTTTACTGAACAGCAGGGGCTCAGGTAAGGTGCTGCTCATCACTTGAACTTTGACTCCTGTGGGATTTCAGGCTAGTCTTTGAAAGGTCAAAGAGCAGCCTAACACAGTGCAGTTACACTGAGGTGTCAGAAAGCTTAAGTTCTCATAAGATCATATTACGATGTAGGTACATATTGTGACTGATTTTTCTTAAATATGTATTTTACACTCTGAACTTAATTCAACCTGATACATATTATAAACAATACAAAAGAATAAATAAAAAGTATGTAAAGGTGAAAAGAAACAATAAAAAAAAATCCACGACTCAAAATTCCGACGTAGATTATGCGCTTCTGCGAGCGGTTTCACAAAGTGACAGAGGACTGGCGCGACCCTGTGGGTCGCTGGTTCGCGACCCGCCTTCGATACCTTGAGATAAACAATTTCAAATCTATGAACTACAATTACACGCTAAAATGCGAACCAAGCACACACCATTCACGAGTCTGTGAAAACTCGACCCCTTTTGCGTCATTTTTGCGTGAGGGGCGGGGCTCAAAGATTTGAGCCCCGCCATTTGAGCTAATCCCCCATGATGCATTGCGGTCACACTGATATTTTTGGTCAGTGACTCCCATCATGTTCAAAACTTTACAATGTTAACGTTTTTTTTGTTGTTTTGTTCTTTTTTGTTTTTTAACTTTAAGGTTTTAACTTTTTAAAAGTTTAATGTTTTAAAGTTTTAACACTTGCCCCAAACACAGAGGTTACAACCTGCATTTGGTCCTCAGTTCTTCTCTTTCTTTTATTCTAATAATAATCCTAATTAATGTTCCTTATCCTTCTCACTCTTTGTGTTTCTTTGTCTTCTTAAATAAGATAAATTTTTTAGTCTTTTCCAAATTGTTTTTTTTGGTTTCTTTTGACCTTCAATGGAAGAAAGTTGTTAACATGAGGAAACGAGCACAATGTGGAGGTAATCATATTCTCACTTTTGGTCCATTTCTTTAGTTTTTAAAAAGTTTTTCAGGCTCTAATAAAGTGTTTTAGGCTCTAGTAGCTGTTATTTTTGCAGTGGTTGAACAGGAAACTGGGAGGAGAAAGGAGGGAATGACATGCAGCAGATTCCCCAGGACTGGGAATTAAACCCAGGTTGACAAAAACAAAACCGATAAGTAACGTCCTAAACAAAACATAATTTGCAGTCTGACTATAAAAAACTGATTTAGGCACATGGTAACTTTTATCTTTGATAAAACCTGTTTTATCAAAGATAAAACAACTCTGAGCTTCTTCACGGTCCGGATTATTAAATTATGATTACAATTATCATCTAATTCAATGTACATATTTAACTCTAATCTTAATTTAACTGGAACCTGAAAAAGTCCAAACATGTTAAATCACGTTTTTTATGTTTGGTATGAAAAGAAAACCAGGATTTATTATCAAAGGTAAATGGACTGAACTTGCTAGTCATGCTGATACTCAAAGCGCTTCACACTGCAGTCACATTCACCACACACACATTTACAACCACATGCAGGTCGCTGGGCAACTTGCCCCTAAATGCCCTGCCCAATGGCACCTCAACATGTGGCTGAGGAAGCTGAAATCAAACCGACAACCTTATGGTCCATTTACCCACAGAGACACAGTCGTCCTAAAGACGCCACTGCATGATCCTTTTGCTAATCTTCTCTAAAACACAGGTTTAAACGCAGCATAACGAGCTACAATTCAGGGCAATTTAATGTGAAAAGGTCAACCAAAGGTCAAACCATGAAAGCACAAGTACAGTGAAAATAAACAGAAATCATTACTATGAAAAGAGGAAATTTTAATCAACACGTTGCTATAAATATTTAGCTGAGTGTTGCAGTAATGAGCCTCTATCACTAAACCAGTGGAGGGAAAATGCCAATTAATTTTACAAGTTTAACAATAAAACTGAACATGTGTTGGAGTTTATAAACTGTTTTGGGGACGATTTGCAGCGACCAACTGACCTGACCTGCATGTTTTAGGGGATGTGGGGGGAACCGGAGCGCCCGGGGAAAACCCACGCAAACACGGGGAGACCATGCAAACTCCACACAGATGGTCTCTGTGAAGACGCAGCGCTAACCGCTGCGCCACCGTGCTGCCCACCATTTTTCTGTTGGGTTGGGAGGATCTATTTTGTCAATCGGGGGAAAAACTGTCTTTTTAAAGACAAAGTTCTGTCTTTAAAACTTTGTTTTAAAATTTAAAGTTTTAAAACTTTGCTTTATAACTTTAAAGTTTTAAAACTTTGTTTTAAAACTTTAAAGTTTTAAAACTTTAAAACTATAAAGTTTTAAAACCATAAAATTTTAAAACTTTAAAACTATAAAGTTTTTGATAAATACTAAATTAATCTCTTATCCTTCTCACTGTTTGTTTTTCTTTGATTTAAAACCTAGAAATGTTTTTATTCTTTTCCAGATAGTTTTTTTCGGTTTCTTTTTACCGTCTAAATTCTGAAGATCACTTTCTTCTTGAGTCATGATTTCGTCAATGGTGTCAGAGTCCTTAGAACAACCTGGCTGTGGTTCTGGTTCTGGTCCTGGTTCTGGTTCTTGTTCTGGTTCTAGTTCTGGTTCTTGTTCTGGTTTTTGTTCTGGTTCTGGTTTATGTTCTGGTTCTTGTTGTGGTTTTTGTTCTGGTTCTGGTTTTTGTTCTGGTTCTGGTTCTGGTTCTAGTTCTGGTTCTTGTTCTGGTTTTTGTTCTGGTTCTGGTTTATGTTCTGGTTCTTGTTGTGGTTTTTGTTCTGGTTCTGGTTTTTGTTCTGGTTCTGGTTCTTGTTCTGGTTTTTGTTCTGGTTCTTGTTCCTGTTCTGGTTCTTGTTCTGGTTTTTGTTCTGGTTCTGTTTTTTGTTCTGATTTTTGTTCTGGTTCTGGTTCTTGTTCTGGTTTTTGTTCTGGTTCTGGTTCTTGTTCTGGTTCTTGTTCTGGTTCTAGTTCTGGTTCTTGTTCTGTTTTTTGTTCTGGTTCTGGTTCTGGTTCTGGTTCTGGTTCTTGTTGTGGTTTTTGTTCTGGTTCTGGTTCTGGTTCTTGTTCTGGTTTTTGTTCTGGTTCTTGTTCTTGTTCTGGTTCTTGTTCTTGTTCTGGTTCTGGTTCTGGTTCAGATTGTCCAGGTTGTTCCTCGTCTGAATCCATGTTATCATTTGAATCATTAATCGGGTCAACATGGCCGACTGATGTTTCCTCCTCCTCTTCTTCTTGAGGACTCGCCGTGTTGGTTGACGGTAAATCATTCGTAGACTCAACAATATTTTCCACAGAAAAACTTTGACGTTGGTTTCGTTCTGCTGATTTTTTAAGTGAACTGATGTCTCTTTCATATCGGATGGAGAGGTCTTGATACAAAATGTCCACATTTTTTAGTTCTTCCATGACGTTGCTCAGTTTTTCTTGCAGGCAGTTTATCTCAACTTTTGATGTTTTCTGCAGGACAGTTTTTTCATTTCCAATATGTCGATGAGCTTCTTTTTCTCCTCTGTCTTCTCCAGGAATAATCTTCTGTCTTCTGTTATTTGCTTCCTCAGGATCTCTCCACTTTCTTTCTGGGCTTTCAGTTCGTCGGTCAGCTCCTTATTTTTTCCAAGGTTTTCTAAATGATCTTCTTTCTCTTGCCTTAGCTCCTGTTGGCATCGCTCCAGGTCTAGTTTCAGGATTGCGATTTCTTTCTCATGGACCAAAGTCAGATCATGATACGATTTTTTAGATTCCTCCAATTCTCTCTGTAAAAGTTGTTCTGATTCTTGCATTGACTCAATTTTTCCTATCATTTCTACCCTCATCGTTTCCATCTCTGTTTTCACAATATCCAGTAATTGCTGCTTTTCACTAATCTTTTCCTCGTAAAATGTTTGTGACTTGGTCTCTTCCCTCCTCTTTATCATGTCCGCGTTATATTTAGCATTGAGCTCCTGGAATGACCTCTGGAGCTCCTTCATTTCTTCTTCCAATGCCTTATTCTTCTCTTTCTCTTCATGCAGTTCGTCCATAAATGCTTCAACTGTGTGAAAGCAGGAGACCCTCACTTGTTCATATTTCTGCTGTATTTCCTCCTTATCCATATCTTTGATTTCAAGCTGAGCCTGAGAAGCTATCACATCAAATTTCAGGACTTCCACGTCTCTGAACTTCTCCAGCCTTTCCAGTTCGGCCTTCGCTTTGCAAGCCTGATCAAAATAGCCAACTTTCAGTTCCTCCTGCTTTTTCAGTTGAAACTCCATTTCTTGGAGCTCTTCCTCCAGTTTCTCTCTCACTGCAATCCTTTTGGCCTTTTCCTTGTTCAAAAGGCCGTTCAGTCGATGGATCTCTCTTTCCATATCATCAGGGTTGGCAGTAGAGCTCCTGCCTTGGGGGTGTTGGTGGTTTCCCCTCCTTGGATTAAATCCCATCATCGTTGATCTTGCATTTTGCTGAGACATTTTCTCAAACACTATCAATAAAATCGTCGATAAAGTATCTTAAGGGGTTTGCGAGCGTCTGAACTGGTCAGTAGTATTGCGAGCAATGACAAATATGCAGAATTGTGTTACATACAATTCTGCAGTTGATGACATCACAGACGGCATCGCCAGTGACATCACAGAATCTCCCTTTGCTGGGGGTGTGACATCATTCCACCTCCAAATATCTTGTTTACAGTCAAAATAGTCCATGATTCTCTTGTCTTATGTCAGGGACATCAAACTCATTTCCATTTGGGCCCAGATCAAAAATCTGAATTGCATTGATAAAAACCAATTCAATTGTTAAAATATCAATGAATAGGTGTTTCAGCATTCAATAAGTGTTTAAAATAAAATAATATTGAACGTCTTTTCACACTAATCAGTTCGTTTGCGATTGTTCAGACTTTTGCAGCATCACTCTTTGGAGATAAAAATGAACTAAAATAATCAAATGTATCTTTTAAGACTCCCAGTGATCTTGGGGTTTCCCAACAAGACAATGTTGACTGTTTTAACCTTTCACCTCTTCGCCTGCTTTGGTCACATGAGCTGCAGACTAGCAGACAAACTTTAATAAAACTTTCAATGGCGGGTAAAGTAGCCGGTCAATGGTGGAGAAACCAAAAACAACTCTGTCTCCACTGTTTGCTGAAAGAACATGGAAGATGGCGAGGAATACTTTAGTAGAGAGCATCCATCCTCACTTTTCATCAGTTTGAACCTCTGAGCTGATAAAGGTGTTATTGTTGCTCTGGCAACTAACAACATGCATTAGAAGTTATTTATTGATAGTACGATAATTATTCTTAACCAAATTAAATAACATTTACCTTAGTATGCTAAGTGTATTTCTCGATGCACAAATAGTTGATATTGTTCAGAGATTAAAGGTTCTTTATTGTCATATCAGCCACTGGCCACCAGGGGCTCCCAAAGCGCCCCAGCCTGGCTCCAGGTTGTACGGTGGCCCTGAGGTTCACCGTACAACCTGGAGCCAGGTATAACATGAACAAAAACACAATGACATTAATGAAAGCGTTTTTATATCACCAAGAACGTTCATGTTGTTAAAAAAAACACGTTAAAGCCAGAATGACTTCCGATTGAAAGTAAAAACGAGCCGCAGAGCAATCAGCGATTTCTTACGTCTCACACTGGGACATACCTGATCCGTTTCATTAACGTTGAATCATTCAGGCATCGAACAGAAACTAAACAATGTGGATGTGCCAAAACTTAATTCAGCTGAACAGAATCAAAATCAAAATTCTTCTTTTTTACCTAAAGAGGAACGATCTAGAAATTATGCAGGAAGATTATGAATGTGAATTTAAAGAAATACAGCAGATTAAAAATTGTAGTTCACTAAAAACGATTTAACGGTTCAAATTAAATGTTTATTTCAATATATAAAGTGCAGCTGTAGTAATCAGTTATTGTTTTCACAATAATTTGTAGATTTACGTCACGATCTATGGTCCCTCTAAGCTGCGCGCCTGCGCAATCGCGCACTGCTCACATATTCTCAGCGCACAAGAAAATCTATGTAGCGCATAAAATAAAGTCCAACGTAAAGTGGACATTGAGCTCAGACATCAGTTTTGACTATGGACCAATAAAATTTTTTTCCGTACTACTTTGCGATCGAACTCAGTGAGTGACAGGAATCCAGCCAATGATACGATACGATTCACTTTCGCTACGCAGCGAAAGTGTGTACGTGGGTTACGTGCCTTGGTCATATGCGCCGTGCAGGTGAGAATAGTGCGGTAGAGTTAAGAAACGTGAAAGCCATCACCTTATCATGTCTACGTGGGACATCCACTCACCAAGCCAAAGTAAAAAAAAAACAGAAATGCACTTCTTTCAAATGGAATCAAATCAAATGAAAGGAATGGTCTGCAATTGATATTGAAATGTTGAGTTCAGACTTTTGACTATGGATAAGCAGACATTTGTACACTGGCAAAGAAGTATGAGGCCATTCTCCTCCACCCACAGATTATGGAGGCCATTAACAGTCAATATGCTGAATTCAAGTAGATAAAGCAAGAAGCAGACTGACCATCAACCTGGGCTAAGTGAACAACCACTGGAGAAGTGAGAAGAAGTGAGAAGGTCAGACGTGAAAAAAACTGTAATTAAATATTTTACAAGAATTTATACTGCATCACAAGCTACAGAAAACATTTCATTGTGCAAAATGTGAATGTTTTAATATGAACAAACATTTATGTCTGAAAGGTGTAATGTCTCATTTCTCACCCTGGCTGAAGCAGGACTCTTACTTATAGCATGCATCTCATGAACAACAATGTTTTCTTTCCTTTTTTTTTATTTTAATTGAGCAAATCACTGAAATTAAAAGCAAACGAATGAAAATGGCTGATGTAATTAGATTTTTTTAATAAGCCATGCAACTTTCTATGATCCCAGATTTATGATACTTGTGCGTGGCCACGCCGTGTACACTGATGATGCTCACAGTGGTCCTCAGTGTGCCCAGGAAGCTTGTGTGTACGCCCAGACACATGAACAATTAGAGGGAACATTGTTCATGACCAATGAACAATGTCCAATGAACAATGTCTGAGCTCAATGTCCACTTTACGTTGGACTTTATTTTATGCGCTACATAGATTTTGCTACATAGAGAAAGGTGGTGTGGAGCTCTGCTGCTACCGCTGTATTCGTGGCTCCACCTCCCTGGAGTCCTTCCACCTCCACCTCAACCGCTTCATCCCAGGTAACTCATTAGCATTTTAATGTTTCTCAGCTTCTCTCCTGATCGTTTTAAGTAGAATACATTTCCTCTGACCTGCAGGGACCAGCGCCGTGCCTCACACTTCCAGCCCTACCTACTGGAAGGCCTGATGCGCTGGAACCAGGACCGGATGGAGGAAGCGGTTGGGGAGCTGCCCAGTTGAGGATTTACGGCAGCGTGGAGAGGGAGGCGCTGGACAGACTAAGCCGGAAGATCCTCAAGGCTCCATTGGATGAGCGCTACCAGCCTCCTGGAGCGTATACTGGTCAGAATGATACTTTTTGATCTCGAAGGGTTTGCAAAACTCTCACAAGACAAGCAATTATGAATAGCAAAGTGCAACAGTTTATTTATTTATTTGGTTTTTTTTTTATGTTCTCAGTTATGTTATAGTACAGATACAAAAGCAGCACATTTGATTTAAAATACCACTTTTTAAATGTACTTTGTAAATAAAACCTAGACTTTTTTCACACTGAAAGAGTTAAATGTAACGTTTTTTATAAAGATTTTATGAAAAGGTTTTTTGGCACAAAGGGGAGTGATGCCTGCTTCAAGGTTTAACCAAGTCGTATCTGAAAGTTTCCTTCAGTGCAGTGAATTGCCTTTTCATTAACTTTATGCTTCTACTTTACTTTTCTGCCACTGCTGACTTGCATGGATGAATACTTATTTTGTTCCAATTCCGGACTATTCTCTGCAGGAGAACTCCTTGGATGGAGTATCTGTA